GTATGAGTTGTTCTCCCTTCCAAGGTTTCATCAAACCATCAGCAAGTTCCTGATCTCCTGACACCCAGCGACATCGAACGTTCGCCTGGTTCAGACGTTCACGGATGCCTAAGACCTCGATAGAAATCCTCCGTTCCTCCATTTAGGCCACAAGTTTGCACTCTTTCATCACTCAGAATGCATGACTCTTCAGAAGCAAGTATGTTATCAGGATTTCTAAGGTCCACATGACCAGGGTGTTTCATCAAATACACAAACAGCTTCACAAAATCATGTTCGTCTAGACCGTTTCCTGTCATGTGTACTTCTGCACTCGTTGAGGATCTGGCAATTCGTCGAAGTCGTCGACTTGTCCAGCACAACACAGAAAAATGACTGAGTTTTCCATTCAGGGTGTCTCGATTCATCAACACAGTAATTGCACCCCCTTGAGAACTACCGTCACGCCTAGTTGCACAAGAAGCATCACAGAAAGTAACAATTAAGTTATCTTTCACCTTATGTGGAAAAATCAGTTTCAAATGACTGTGTCGTCGTTGCCATCTAATGGCCTTATTGATTTCCATCAAATCACTCACTGTTGCTGTCTCCACACATCCTTGTAGATGAGAAACAGTCGAAAGCAACCAAGGACTTGTTTGAACTGCTCTCCAATTCAATGCTCCCAAAGCTCTCCTCATCTCGGATTTCTCGGCCGGTGTCGCAGTATCATGTTTCATGTCTCTTCGAGAACGTTCTAAATTGATTTCATCAATAGAAAGAGCAAAACGTTCTTGATTCAGCCAAATATCAAAATCTTCCGTCTGAAAAATGTCGCATCCACAAAACTTCACACTCTTCTCTTGTGCACACTCCCAGCTTCCAAAAGCAAATGACTCCCGAAGCATTTTGACTTGTTTCTCAAAATATGCCCCGGCACCTGCCACCACCAGGTCATCCACATGTGCACCTAGGTAGCCACAAATCTCCTGAGTAGATGGATCTGTGAGCAAGAAGACACACTGATCCAATTGGTGTGATTGCCACTTCTGGCTCCACAGAACAGATTGAAGTTTCTCAAACCATCTCCGTGGCGCATGGCACAAGCCGTACACGGCTTTTGCGACTCTCCAAAGCTCATGAGGTTTCATGTTCAAGTGTTGTTTCACTTCTTCAGGAGGTTCAGCCCAAGTCTTTCGTTCTAACTCAGTCTCATCTCCGTTAAGATACGCCGTCTTGATGTCTCCTAGAAACACCTTGAACCTTCGTTGAGCTGCAAGTGACAAAATTGTATTTCTACCCCAACGTGCGGTTAAGTGTGGCTGCTCTCCGAGGCACCGACAAAAGCTCAGGATCCTGGTATCCCTTCAGAATAAGGCGTGCTTTTTGCCTTCCTAGCGACCTGCATACCATTTTTATCTTGCACTGGTTTCCAAACAAGAACCCACCGCATACCCAGGATTCTTTGCCGTGGAACTCCCGCCCGAGCACAGATCTCGACTGCACTATTAGAAGTAAATGAGTCAACTTCATGTCCCATGGCTTTCAGAAACTCTTTTCGATCTTCTTCATTCAATTTTCTAAAGTTCACTTCAACGTTTCGTTTTGCCTTTTGGTTGAGGACCCAAGTACCTCTCTTGCAATGAACATCACGTGCAGAGACACTCAAATGAATTTCCACAGTGTGTGCACTCTCAACAGCTTGGGCAAACAGCATGTCGGTCTTTTCATCACACTCTTCAGGTATGGTGTTGAGCTGGACAGGCCGTGAGAGTTCTGTACTCTCTTCCCGTCTTATATTCGCTGGATCCCTGTGTGGGGTCCGGCTCCGATGTCTCGGATTGTTGATCCTATCTATCCGATGTTCAGCTTCTTTGCGATCTGCATCAGGATGGTTTCCATCTGACTCATGCGCATCTTGAGGTCTGAGGTTTCCTCTTGCAGCTGAATCATCTCTTTTGAGGGTTCCTCCATGGTCACGGTCCAGTGATCGAAGTCTCCCTTCTCGATCTTCTCTTCGAACAGCTCGTCCTGTCCGCCACGTTTCTTGGTATTCCCGGTCTTCATCTGAGGGTCCTCTTTTGTGCCCCCGTACCCGGCTGCGGCCTCCATCTGCTGAACCAGAGCCTTGGTCCCACGATTCAGGAATTCCACGAACATCTGCATCGTGGGATTGCTCTTCTCTGGATTCACATGGCTCGCCACCCATTCTGCGTAGCCCGGTTGAGCTGCTGCTTCCTCGAAACTCAGTCCCTTGTGTTTCCCGAAGTCGATCTTCATGGCCTTGAGCTCGATCATTGGCATGGTCTTTGCCTTCTCGACCATGTCCTTGCCAGTCGCGTGACTGGTCAGTCGCTTCAGCTTGTCCAAGTTCTTCTTGAGGCTCAGCTCTGGCTTGCTTGAAGCACTCATGGCCATCGTTCGCGATTGGGGGACTGGGATCTGGAGGATCAACTACGTCCAAGGTCCGTTTTCCTTGACACCGAAATCTCGGAATGTTCAGATCAGGAGAGACTTCTGGCACATCTTCAATGTCACGCAACAGATCATGACATTTTTGTTGTCTTCTCAACGTTTGGTGATAAAATCATAGTCTCAAAATCCGCAGGTCCGTTGATCTGAAGATCAATCTGTTGTACATTTTGTGTGACAGGTCGCAACTGTTCGGGTGCACATCTCAACAAAAATCCAGCATGACCGACCCAAACAATAGAACCAGGATGGTTCGTCAAAAGCTGTTCCGAAGTTTTCTCATGACCCAAAACCCTACCTGGTCCATGCCACCTACCCGCAACACGAGTTCCTTCTTTTCGGTCCCTACGATAGTAGTACACTAGTTGTCCAACAGTGAATTCTCTGAGGGGCCTACTTTGCGCTCGCAGGGCACGCTGCAAACGTCGTTGCGAATCTGCCTCAATGAAAAGTTTCCCGGCCGCGGCTTCTCTTTTTAGGCTGACCTCAAAGTCTGGTTCTTCACGCTGGCTATCCCAGGGGAGATGTCCATCAAAGCGGAGAAAGGAACTGATCTTCTTCCGTGGTTGGCACCAACTGCCATTGATTAGGAGTGTATCCCTTGACGTTGTGAACTTCTTTCTTAGCCATCACAGCCAAGTGCAACAACTCCTTTGCATCAGTGTCTGGTCCCAACTCATGAGCCAACAAATTGGCATTCTTCTTCAGAATCTGTAAATGTCGGGAGTGTTTGCCCATCTGCCAAGCACTCTCACCGCCTATGGGTTCCATTTTAATACCCAAACTCTCCAACCAGCTGATCAAACCAATAGCCCTCATATACCCTTCTTCGTCATACCGCAATTTCTGGGGAACAGGAAACCGTTTTGCGTTTTGTCCAACCCTCCAGGAAACCTTCTTTGAACTCCTTCCCTGAAATCACGTGTTGTGGTTGTTTTCCTTGACGCACGATCACGATAGTATGATAGTCAGTCGCTTCATCGAAAAGGGAGATCCCAACCACATGTTGACCGTCTTGTCCCGGGGAAAGAAGTTCTTTGGGAACATGCCACCAAAAGGTATCCACGCTCACGCATTCCCACTTCTCACGAACTGGGGGGAGGAGTTGCTGGATGACAGTGAGCTCGTCTTCCACGTTGCAGACAGTGATCACACCTGAAACGTTCTACCTGCTTCAGGACAGCTGGAGAAGCACCGGCGTCCTTGAACATTCTACGCATGACCTGATGATTAGGGTGACCCAGATTACGATGAATGAGTCTGATCTGATTTAACGTGTGGGTGTCCTCTTCAACAAGAATGTCATCTTCATGCAATTCACGCAGAATCTTGAAACAAGTGGTTCCAGTCCAGGGTCCTCTGTTTTGTTCAAGAGGTTTCACAGGTGACTCTCTCCAATTGTCCTCTTTCTCGTCTCTAGTGCCATCTGAGAACACCGCCACGGTCTTGCGCCAAGAAGAAATCTACGCATCAGGAATGGTGCATTCCACCTCACTAGGTTTGAACGCCTGAGTTCGTGCAATATTGTGATGTCGCACGAGCATTCCATTCTCTTGGCTCCAGTAATCTAAATTCTCATTTGCAAAAATCGAGGCAGTGCTTTCAAAAGTCTGACACAAAATGTTCTCCTTCACTGGATTCAAAATGGCCTTTGCAAAACAGACACATAGCAATCTGGGATATGTGGCAGTCCGTGCAGTGAGTTCTCCTTCAACCGGCACATGTTCATGTAGTTTATGGTTGCACTGACTTTCTACAGCCTTCCTAACCACCTTCGAACTGCTAAACCAACCCCAAGGTTTCCTAATCAGACCTCGAGTCTTCTCGTCTCTCATTTCATGACAACAACCATGCACAGTGAACCTACCGCCACACATCTTAGCCATAGGCCCCATGTCGGTTGCTTTCCAGCTGTGAGCTCGAAGTGAGTGCTCACCACCGCCATGAAAAGCCTCAGTCTGTCCGCCTTGGCCATCCAGTTCCTGAAGCTGTACTTCCAAAAGTCTCCGGCATCTGGTGATCAGTTTCTTGCTAGATGCTCGCTGTTCTAGAAATGCCTTCTGTTTAGTTTCATCACGTTTGGTGCAATTCTGAAAAGCACTCCACAGAAAACAAGGTGGTGAAATGTGCAAATATCGGGGTCTCAAGTGACGGATTGTTTGCAAAGCTCGTTTGTATCCATCAACAGTACACAGGTCATATCCATTATGGATGCCTAAAGCAATTGCCTTGCCACCTAGATCTCGCAGCGCCTGACAAAGAGGTGAGTCCCATGGAGCACAAAGTTCCACCAGGTCCATTCGGTGTCCACCAACCAATCCTTCAAAAGTGAAGTCTCCATTGTCCAGTTCCCGTTTCAACGTTTGAAGGAGTTTCTGTTTTTGATCGTGTCCTAATCGACTTTTCTGGTGGTCCTGATGAAGTTCAGTTTCAACATCACAAACATGGAGATTCGTTGGATCAGTTCTCAATGTTTCATTAAAAATCTCTCCACTCAAGGCTATCAAGCTTTCCCCAGCTTGTCCATTTGAGCCTTGGTGGAGCTGTTCCTACTCGTCCACCGTGCCCTGATCGCCAGTGGTGGCCTCCCTCACCGAAGGGTCACTGGCCGGCTGTTCCGGCAAGTCGGGGTCACTCCGGCTCAAGGTGTGGACGTCCCCGTCGAAGTCCTCGTCTTTCACAAAGAGGTGCTCTAAGGCATTGTGATGCCCAGCGAATGCTGTCAATGGAATCAGCAAGTGATTGCTGTCTGTCCGTTCCAGTTGAATCTGTTGTGAACTCAAAGTCCTGAAAAGGGCCTTGCCTGTCCTGAAGTTGATCGTCACATCCATGTCATAGAGAAACTTCGAAGACAGCAAGAAAGGCGTCTTACCTTCCACGAGGTGTGATTGAATTGTCACCTCCTTGCCACAGATTCCTGTATTCACATGTGACAATCCCAGCCCAGATGAAGACTCCCCGTTTCCAAAAATGAACCGCTTGTGAATCTGGCGGTCCACCTTGATCTCCTGATCTGGCTCAAAGTCCATCTCCTCCAGACACTCAGCGAGGTCCTGCAATGTCTTTGCTCCAACAATGTTGTCTGAAGCACCGGAATCGACAATGGCTTTTCCCCGCAGCTCTGAAGATTGTAGCGCCAGAATCTGTCCTGTCGCCACTTCTGAGCACAACACCCAATTGGGATCTGGACAGATCTCCTCCGGTATTGGGTGAGGCTCTGTCTCATCATGACTGTGACCGAGCACTGTGGTCTCCATGTGAACCTCCGGTTGATCACAACTGGTCATCATGGGAACCTCCGGATGTGCTGTTTGGTCACCTGTGTCATATGACTCACACCAACCCACATAGCCAATGGAAGTCCCTCCACTTCCTGATGGTCTCTGTGGGCACCGGCGGGCTGTGTGTCCCTTTTTGCCACATCGAAAACAGGTCTTGTCAGCATCTGATGAATAGGATTCCCTCTTTGTAGTTGCGTTCGACTTCATGAACTGACTTGCCTTTCCTCTATATATTCTGAGTCTGTCCCGGTGGTCGCACCGGATAGAATCCTTGAGCCGTCCTGGCCTGATCCAAAGCACGGCGAGCCTCCTTGAAATTGGCAAGGATATCTATCTGCATTGTCTTCTGTATCTGCCAAAAGCTCTGCTGTCACCTCATCACACCAGTCCTCAAGCTCAAGGATCTCCTCCGTCTCTTCTGTCTGGTCTGCATCTTGTTGCGCATACCCTTCATCTTGATGGTATGCATGTGATGTAGTCTTTCGTGGTCGAATCTCATCTCTTCCGAGGCCACTGCTCCACATCAACCGCAAGGCGGTCAACACATCAACTTTGTAAGAACTGGCCTTGCCACGGATGTTAGCATCTGATGGAGACATTCTCATGAACACGTTCAGAAACCAACCGTATACCTCAGGCGGCATCTTGGCACTGGAATTGGTCTCAGCCAGTGCTCGCTCCATCTGCCTCATCAATATCTTGAAGCGGTTCTCGTAGTCATTGATCTCCTCACCGTCCCGTCGGCAAGCTTCACGCTTCAGGAAAAAACTCTGTAAATGTGTCCCCCAAAATGTCCACTCTGGCCCTGCCACGCTGGTCTTCCAAAAGGTCAGCAAATAATGCCATCCCTGTGCCTTTTTCAGCTGATCTCGTTTGATCTCACCCAACGTGTCAAAGGCCTTGCCCACCAGATTAGATGCTAAACGTCCGAGAAATGGAAGGTCGTCCTCCTTGCTGTCAGCTCTCGTCTTGTTACCGTCCCACCAAGGGTGGAGTCCACAATCCCCTCGTATTCCTTTGGACTCATAGCCCCAAACAATGCACCCACAAGCCGAGGAGCGACCAGCTCTACCATGTAAATATGGCAGCGGAGGCCTCAACTCAACCACAATGCACTGTTGACCTTTCTACAAACCGACACCACGAGCACACGCAGGTTTACACGCTATGGAGCACGTCGAAAGAGTCCGCTAGCTGCGAAATTTCACAACCGGTTTATGGAAATTCAATTCATAAATTATGGGCTGGGGGGGGTACCTGGTGTGAAATTTCACAAAGCCGCCTTCCTTTTTCATGGCAAGTTGGTCTGCAACGCAGAAAGTTCGAGGCATACTGGGCCCTCGCGGGGACAAAACTCTTCATGTTCGGTTGTGGCCTGAAAAAAGTGTAGAACAAGTTCTTTGGGCCGTTCGAAGTAAACCTCCTTCGGAGTGATCTGCTTTTCATCACATCTACCCCTAAGCCAAGATCCATAGGGAATCTGCTTCACCTTAAAGTTTGGCAGCAAACCCCCACACAGTCACAAAAAGAACCATAAGAAACACATGTATTCTTATACTATTTTCTGGGATCCCAAATCCACAAACAACAAGAATTTGCCCCTCCAGGACTCCAGGCAGTTTTCTTTTTTCAATGTCCTTAGACTTTGCCTGCCTGCGGTACATATTTTGTATGATGCCTATTCTGCAGTCTCTAACTTAAAGGATGTACCCGTCGCAGGCGCAATTTTTTTTAGAATCTTGAGGTCCCAAAGTCAGCCACACAACCTTTGCTTATATTATTTTTGTGAAACTATTGGTGCAACTTAACCCCCAGAAATAAATTTTAAGACCATTCTTCAACCTTTGAAGTTCTTTTTGCAGATATCAGGACCTGAAGGATTTTGCTCGCCGCAGGCGCAAAATTTTTTGGAATCTGGAGGTCCCAAATTTACCCGAAAAAAAAAAGGAAAAACTCATATTTTTTGGTGGAACTTGACCACCAGGAAAAAAAAATAACAAGATGTTTCTTATAATTTTTTAGCGGAACTTGACCACCAGAAAAAATATAAGAAACATGTTTTTTCTTATATTTTTTTGGTGGAACTTGACCCCCAGAAAACAAAGTAGAAACACCTCCTTCTGGTAGCCAAACTCCGCGAAAAATGACCTGGGACCACAAAACTCCACACAAAATGTAAGTTTACCGGAAAAAAAATGTCTAATTTTTGAAAAACATATAATCCCCCCCCCAAAAAAAAATATAATCACCAAAAAAAATTATAAGAAAAAATCATATAATTTATCATCCTCCAGCCCATGAAGACAACGCAGCATTTTTTCCTGCAAAGCAAGAGATTTGTGAGCAACTGTATTCATAGGATCTCTGCAATCTCATGAATATGAGCTACAAAACCAGAAAGAAATGCTGTGTTGTCTTCATGGGCTGGAGGATTATAAATTATAAGAAAAGATTCTTTTCTTATATTCTTTTTGGGTGATTATATTTTTGAGGGGGGGATTATATTTGTTCAAAAATTATACCATTCTTTTTCGTAAAAATACATTTTGTGTGGAGTTTTGTGGTCCCAGGTCTTTTTTCGCGGAGTTTGGCTACCAGAAGGAGGTGTTTCTACTTTTCTTTCTGGGGGTCAAGTTCCACCAAAAAGTTAATAAGGAAAAATCTTATAATTTTTTTCTGGTGGTCAAGTTCCGCCAAAAAATTACAAGAAAAATGCCTTTCTTCTCATTTTTTCTGGTGGTCAAGTTCCACCAAAAAGTTTGGGACTTCCAGATTCAAAAAAAATTGCGCCTGCGGCGAGCAAAATCCTTCAAGTCCTAATATCTGTAGAAACTTCAGAATTGTCACAAAAAATCTGCGCCTGGCGGCGGGCAAAGACTAAGGACATTGAACAAAGAAAACCGCCTGCAGGGGGCAAATCCTGAAGTTCCTAACTGTAAGGAACTTAAGACTTAAGACTGACTTAGGATTAAAAAAATGTGTGCGCCTGTGGTCGGCAAATTCTTAATATCTTAAGTTTTGATGTTTTGCTTTTTGTTTTTGTGTGGAGCTTTGCTCTCAAAAACATTTAAGAGAAAGTAATATGCATTCTTCAGAGTGTTGCTCCATCTTTTTGCAATTTATTGTTTGTTTTAATAAAGTTGTGTTTGCTTAGTGTTCTTGACAAACAAAAAGTACTGTGTTCCATTTGTAAGTTCCTGCGACCATTGCCGTCAACTCTTCTCCCTTGGCAATTCTAGCAGGCAATGCTGCAAAGCAGCGTGGTTTGGATTGGCTGCAAAATATGAGTGGCGTGATGTTTCTCATGAAGCCGCAAAGCCTTCCACTTGTATTGGTATTGTTCGCATTTGTTTTATTTCCTTGTGCCCCGCGTCACTTGAGCAAACAATGTCATGAAGGAAATGGCCTCAGAATGTTTGATTGAAAGAACCAGCTGCAAAAACCCTCCTAGTCCAAAAAGCAAATGGTTAACGCTTCCTCACACTCTCAAGAAAATACAATATTTTTTTTTGAACTCGGCAGGGGTTGTGAAAATTCATACCGCTAGCTAGAACATCAGGGCACGTCTTGAGCCCCGGAGGTTGAGGAATGGATTCTTTGGTCACTGGATGTCACCAATTTCACAGCCTCCAACCTACTACCGATGGCCTCCAACCTACTAGCGATGGCCTCCAACCTACTAGTGCTGTCCTCCAACCCTACTATAGCCGTCCAACCTACCAGCAATGGCCTCCAACCTACTACCGATGGCCTCCAACCTACTAGTGATGGCCTCCAACCTACCAGCGATTGCCTCCAACCTACTAGCAATGGCCTCCAACCTACTAACGATGGCCTCCAACCTACCAGCGATGGCCTACAATTAGTAGCGATGGCCTCCAACCTACCAGCGATGGCCTCCAACCTACTAGCGATGGCCTCCAACCTACTAACGATGGCCTCCAACCTACTATAGCGATGGCCTCCAACCTACCAGCGATGGCCTCCAACCTACTAGCGATGGCCTCCAACCTACGAACGATGGCCTCCAACCTACAGCGATGGCCTACAATTAGTAGCGATGGCCTCCAACCTACCAGCGATGGCCTCCAACCTACTAGCGATGGCCTCCAACCTACTAGCGTACTAGCGCTGGCCTCCAACCCTACTAGCCGTCCAACCTACCAGCGATGGCCTCCAACCTACTAGTGATGGCCTCCAACCTACCAGCGATGGCCTCCAACCTACCAGCGATGGCCTCCAACCTACTACAGATGGCATTTTACTTGCTGAAGGGAGTCCCCCTGGCACAGGTGGCGGGGAAGGGGCTGAGTGGCGAGGTCTGAAGATAACCTAACTGAAACATGCACGGATCAGGAGAAGAAGTCCCGGATGAAGAGAACCAAACCAACATCACACACGCAGGGCACGAGCCGCACGCGTTCCCAGCTGAAGGCGCTTCTGCAGAGTGTTCCAACTGCTCTCAGGAGCCGACCAAGAGAACAAGCATGGAACAGGAGAATCGGCAAGGTCAACCGAGGGCCACCAGTTGTACGAGCAAGGTCGAATATGCTGCTGAAATTCTTTCTGGATCACCAAAGCGACTTTCGCTTGAGATGGAAACACCGGCCGGTGTGACAAGCCGTTGACACAAGTACCCGCCCCCTGACGGTAAAGCGAACATACACGAGCGCGCTCCACATGGGCTGGCACAATCCGCTTACCACACAAGGATACTGTTTGCAAAAAGATGGTGGCAAACTGTGAAGCGCATTCATTCCAAGTATAATTGAAGGCCAGAGCCTCAGCATTGGAACGGGCCCAAGCAAACGTCGGCAAAGGCTCCTGCGAATGACGATGGAGCGGAATGTATCCTCCAGAAAAGTACATGAAACTCAGCATTAGTTCCATCCAAGAGACTCCCATCCGTGTATGTTCCGGGTTAATGGCTGCATTATCCGAAGGCCATCGGAAAAGGCTCAACCACCGAAGCACACATTTGAGGAGGTCAGTTCCCCAATAGGAGTGTTGGAAGAAATGCGAGCTGAGCATCATCAATGTTGAAGGACCATCCATGCGGGACGTCCCAGTTGGCAGCCACATCAGAGAAAACGGAAGCTCTCCTCATGGGATGTGGCTCATTTGGGTTCATGGATGCTGGGGCATGTGCTTCATACTCTTTGCGAAATTTTTGAAGCTCCAAGGAGAAAGAGTAAAAAGCTCGCAAGTTAGCCATCTCCGTACAGCGGAGTTTCGCCTGGTCCAACCAGGGTTGTGTCAGAGCGGAATGGCTTTGTAAGCAAGCAGCCTCAGCAGCCTTGTCAGCTTGAATATTTCCCAAGGCATGGTAGCATTCCAAGTCCGACAACGTGGAAGGGTCTGCATGACCCTTGATTTTTACCACCCGGTTATAAGCCAAATTATCAATATTACGAATGCGTTGGCGCAAAGCTGGTTGAGGATGTCCATGAAGGGAAGGACCCTGGACCTAACTTGCGTCTCGAAAAGTGGCAATGGCACTTGACGAATCCACATGGCACACAGCATGCCTGAAGCATTCTTGGGCTCGAATCAAAGCCTGTAACTCAGCATGGTGGATATTTTGTTCTCGAGGGCAGAGCTCCTGAATGACAACATGTAGCGTGGTCGGCATGTCTCCGGTCTCTTTAAAGCGCTGAGCCTGCCAACAGCGTTCGGCATCCAAGCGGCACGCATCTATGACAACACTGTATCCAGCATGTCTCAAAGTAGGCAGTGTGGGATGCTGACAGCTACCATCCGTACACACATGAAGAGGCTGTTCAGGTGTAACCTCTTGGTGTAGAGCCTGAAGCAAAGCAGGGTCCACTGGCCGTTCTTGCAAGGCGTACTGGAATGCGAAGCGAAATTCGTCAGCAAAGTCCTCGAAAAGAACTGGCAATTCCGGCCACAGAGTGTCAACCTCCGAAAGTTCTTGAAGCAAATCAGAGTATTTGGCTCGAATGTCCTGTGTGGCTGTGCAGGTGAAAAACCGATGATACCGAGTATCTTCTTGACCGCACCAAGGGCATTCTGGCGTGACTAGTTCGTCCCAAACAGCTTGCTGGCTACGAGTTTGAAAGGCCCCAGCAATCTCGCGAATCAAGAGACGCCGTTCCCTGGGAGTAAATTTCAAAAGAACTGCTTGCTGATCCACATTTGGGAAATTCATGAGGGACCTGCGATGAGTATGCAAAGTCAGGAGCTTATCTTGCCAGGATCTTTCAGCAAACCAAACCAAAGTTTTCCAAGGACAATCCAAAAAGACAAGTTTCACGAAAGTGGACACTTGAATATT